GACGAGGAGGAGGACGATCAGCAGGACGAGGAGGTGGAGGAGGAGGGCGAGGACCAGGATGGCCAGGAGACGGAGGGCAAAGGGGAGGGGGGTGCCAGGGCGGCGCTGCGTGAGAAGGCGCACGAGCAGGCGTTTGTTGCGGAGGACTGAGGAGGACGAGGTGGTGGACGTCAAAGAGGATGGAGGTGGATGTTCTCCTCGCGGCCTCCGGGCGCGACCCGCGGTTCTCCGCCGGGGCGCTGCAGCGGGGAATCTTCATTCCACGCTGTTGCCGCTGATGTGCGGCTTCTCCAAATTTGGGGTGCATGTTTCGAGCATCTTGCGTTTGTCGCCCAATATTCCCCTGCAGGGGGGCGCGCCCGACTTAAGGTGGGCCCCGCCACGGGGTTGGAAGCGCCCGATGCGGAACGGTCTGTCGATCGGACAACGGCAAGTTCAACAGGCTTCAACGGCCCACGCGGCGTCGGGAACCAACGCATGGGTCGACGCGACGCGCAGTCAACACGCCCAGAGAGAAAACTTCCTGGGATGTGACAGCCATCCACTTCAGAGCCGCCCATCGGACCAGCGTGGGAAAGTCGCCGCGGCCGCGTGACCTGCTTCGTTGCTTGCTTACGGCTCCCTATGGCGACGCGTCGACTATCAGCAGTTGCGGCCGCCAGTCTCTGCATGTAAGTGCGCGTGGGCCCTCGCATCCCAGTATGTTGTCTCGGGGGGGGGGGGGGCCCTTGAAGCTGTCTGGCGAGCTCCTCGCAACCGTCGCGGGTGGCCATCGTCGGCCCTCTAACGGGGACGTAGCGCGATTCTTCGAGCGCAGTCGGGCGTATTTTCTGCGCTTTCGGCGGCCGCCAGGGGGCCGCGTGGGCCGCCGCGGGCCGACCCTGAACTGCCGCGATACGTTTTGGCCCGTTTGGGAACATTCGACGGTTCTTAGCTCACAATTAGGAGTTTTTTTCCAGCATGCGCCGCTGGCTACGATGGGCGATGGGGGGGTCTTTGCTGACCTCGTCGGGGGAAGGAAGGCCCAGTTCACCGCGCGACTCTCGCCCCCCCCCCCCCCCCCATCGCTGCTCCGCCGCCCCGCGCCCTCCCCCTTCCCCCGCCCGCCCCCCCCCCCCCCCCCTTTCTCCCCCCCCCCCCCCCCCCCCCCCCCCCCCCCCCCCCCCCACCCCCCCCCCCCCCCCCCCCCCCCCCCCCCCCCCCCCCCCCTCATTTCACCCCCCTTATGCCCCGCCGGGAGTCAGTCAGGGCCGTGGAGAAGCCCGGGGCCGCAGCAGTCTCCGCCGTCTCCCCGCGGGCGCCGCGCGGTTTCCTTGTCCGCCCTCGCGAACGATGGGCGCGCTCGCAGCGGCCCTGGGAAGTGGGCGCGGAGTAAGTTGGGCGTCGATCAGGTTGCCATCGCGCGTGGGCGACGGCGCAACGACTCATTGAGATTTGGGTTTCTGGGTAGGCAGCCGCGCGGCCAAGGCGAGGTGGCTGGCGCGAAGAGCTATTGCAGGTGCACCGATTAGGGAACATGGGTTGGGAGGGAGGGGGGGCGGACATCATGCCGCGAAACCAATGTGAGCGGCGCTGTCGGAGGTCGCTGGTGGATGCGCTCGCGAAGCGCGAGTCGCGCGCAGAGTGCGCGGCGCCAATTCTTATATAACAAACGCACTTGGACGCGAACTGGCGCAACGCGCGCAGGCGCTGGGCGACGAAAGCGGACGGGGAACCGGCCGATGTTGCGCGCTGACGACGGGGGCGGCGCAGAGGCCCGCGACACGGGGGGTATCGGAAAATATTCGCACCATGTATTGCGCCAGAAGAGCGGCAGGAATCGCGCCACGGGAACGCCGCGTGGAACGCAAACGGTGGCGCAGTTTGATGTCCGAGTGATAAGTTTAGGTCGGGGGTGCCCCCGGGAGGGATATTCAAACGTAGCTCAACTTTGGTATGGGGCGAGTTGTATGTTTTGACTGTTCTGGAATATTGGAGAATATTTTTCGTTCTTCCTAAGTCCGCCTATGCCCGACCTAACGGCGCGCTTGTCGCAGTTCGACGAGAAGACGGAGATGCCGGAA